GACATCATTCCAGGTGGTATCTGCAACCAAGCATCTAAACTAGGTGACATAGGAAGGGTTTGCCAAAGCTTACCGAAAGTGGTCTCCGTCATGTGAACTTTATGTGGGTCACCAGAAATAGCAGGGAACACTTGCAGGAAAGAAGCCCAGCTTTTCAAAACTGGGTGGTCCAAATCTGGAATGGGAGAGGCCTATATTATGGCCTTGGCAGTAAGGAAGCTAAGTACCAGCCTCACCTTGACCTGTTCTGTGGCGTATTCCTGGGGACTGGAGCACAAAGAGGAGTCTGCATTGGGTAATAAACTCTCAAAATTTGCTGCGGGAAGGGATGTAAAATGTTAACTGGTAAGCATTAGCCTTATCCGTTAACCCCCTGAGTGCCAGCCGGAGCAGACCCGGCTGTGCCCGGCCAGCCGGAGTGACCCCAGCCCCGGCCGCCCCCAACCAACCCCAGCCCAGGGCCAGCAGCTGCGGCCTCGGCCCCAGCTCCACCGGGCTGGCCAGCTGACCCCAGCCCCAGCCACCCCATGCCAGTTAACTCCAGCCCCAGCCGCACTGCGCCAGCCAACTCCAGCCCCGCTAGGCTGACCGGAGCAACCCCAACCCCAGCCCCAGCCCCACCAGGCTGGCTGGAGCAACCGCAGCCCCTGCCCCGCCAGGCCAACTCCAGCCCCGGACGCCCCACACTGGAGCAACGCCAAACCCAGGGGTGACTGGAGCGACCCCAGTCCTGGCTGGCTGACCCCAGGCGCCCTGTGCTAGCCAACTCTGCCCCAGCCCTGCCAGAGTGAGCCCAGCCGGCCGGCCGACCCCAGCCCCGGATGCCCCACGCTGGCCAGCCAGAGCGATGCCAGCCCCGGGCCAACTGACTCCAGCCCCAGCTGGTCAACCCCAGCTCTGGCCACGCTGGGCCAGCTGGAGTGACCCCAGTCCCTCTCCCTTTAATTGGTTAACCAGTTAAACGATATAATTTTAATTGTTTAAATGGTTAACTTTTAAAACAGTATTTACATCCCTAGCTGCGGGTGGCATCATAGCTGTCTGGTAATGGAACTGTAGGGCTGGTCCCAAGCTGGAGTTGTAATGAGCGGACAAATAGGTACTCACAGCTGCTCCGAGTTCTGCAACTTGTTCCTGCAGTTTTCCATTTGCAGATGCTGTACTTGATCCCAAAGCCTCTGGTTTCCAGCCTAGAGGACTGCAATCTGCTCTTGCAGATTCACAGGCCCCTAGAACATTGGAGCTCCAGCAATATCCATACTTGGCCCAGGGGTTCAGCAACGAGTCCCAGAAGAGACTAAGAGGATCTGAGCAAACTCTCAGAGCCTATAACGTGGAGTCTGACCTAATGATTGGAGCCCAGAGTAGAGTCAGGGTCATGGTCAGAAGTCATGCCAAGGGACACAGATGGAGTTAGAAGCCATGCCAAGGGTCAAACCAGAGTCAGAGATGTGCCATGGATCAAGAAGCCAGTGTTAATAACTGGAAGGAAGGCAAGGGACTAAGAACAAGGTGAAGTAACAGGAACAAGGAGCAGGGACCATGCAAGCAGGCTGGAACTCGGTCTCAGGGGTCTGGTCAGCAGCAGACCTAGCAACAATTGCTCAGACAAGGGGAGTGGCCTGGACAGGAAGATTTATGCTAAGATGTGTCCAATCAGCAGTCTGCTGCTAGTGAGCTGATCCTGCTGAGTCAGCAGTTGTAGCCCCTGTTTGTGGGTCTATGTCTATTCTTGTAACAGGGTGGTGCAGATGATAAGGCTCTTGCTCAGCAACCCTAGGTTTAAGACCTGACAGTAACTGGCTATTCTTTGATTAGACCTTCACTGTAACTGTGATATGAGTGTTCCTAAGACTGGTTATTGGTAGCACTAGTCAGATAGCGGGCATTACGACTTTTAGGGCTACCCAGTGATAAAATGTGATGGGTGCAGTACAAGGATCTGAAATAAACACACACTTTACCAGTTTTTGGAAAACTCTTGTTTCTACATAAAAAACAAAAGTTTAGATTAGACACCATCATAAGTATCAAAATTTCATTTTGGACAAAATACTCTGAAAGAAAAATTATGGATGCAAAGCAAGATAATGTAAAATAAAATTGTGATAAAGACATTAATATAAAATTCTAAAATAAAATCTGGACATCCTTCCCCCAAACATCACTTAAATAAATCACATAATCACACAAGTAAATAAGTAGGTTAAATCCTCAAGTATAACTTTTCAACTCCACTGATTTCATGCTCTTATTGAGTCAGCCAGCTGCTTTTATTATACAAAAAAATATGGAAGGTTCTGTTGAAAATCATATGAAATACTGAACAGATTCTTAGTCAGTTCTAAGCTCTTGAGTACCCTGACAGACTTTAGGAGGTGGCATGAGTCATTTTTAACAGCTATCTCATTTGCTTTTGAGCTCAACAGACTCCTTATTGTGCCTTGTGCATAAAGTTTGGTTTGCTATATCATGCTTCTGAAATCAAGAGGCCATTCTTGAGTTCAGAGTAAGCTTCTAGGACTCAGTCATTTCAAGAAAACACTATTGGGTCTTGGTAACTATTGTAGATCCATTAGTGATGGAAATGGTGGAAGCTGTAATTTCCCTTGTACAGTCAATCAGTTTCTCTGTTGGTTGTGTTGGTCTTTCACACAACACACAATGAAAGAAAAACATTTTAACATATAAGAAAATCTTATTGTAAAACTACAAAAATGAGCAAGGGACATCAGGGCAGGTGTAGTACATGAAATTAATTTAATCTTTCTTGAAAACTGACTAGCTTTCAAGTAGGTCGTGTCCCTTTCACTTCAACTCTTTGTCATTAATCTGTTCAGAAAATTACAGCTAATGCTTGGGTGGAGCTGGGGGGAGCTAAGACCACAGAAATAGGCAAACTGGAGGGGCCAGGTCATTCAGTGCCCTGTCACCAACAGTGACCAGGACTAGCTGCTTCAGAGGAAGGCTGAAGAACCCCTGAAGTAGCCAGCTCTGTAGCTGCCCTGAACAGGAGGGGTGATGCTTTCCCAGTTGTCCCTCATCAGAGGCTGGCCTTTGCCCGCAGGTCCCCATCAGAACTCCAAGGCTACATAGCCACGGGAACTAGGGGTGTGGGAGGTGCTGCAGCACCTCCGGCCTGCGCCCGGGATCCCATTTGCCAGCCGACACCCCACCGCGCCCGGGGTCCTGGCTGCCTGCCCCATGCCTGTCCCCAGCTGTGCCCCCAGCCTCTGCCCTCTTGGAGTCCACCCCTCCCGGAGCCATGGCACTGCTCCCGGCCCCAGCTCTTGGAGAGGGGGTGTGTACAGGAGTGAGAGGGTGCAAGGTCAAAAGTTTTGGGGCCACTGCTTTACAGTTTGGTTAGCTGGTTTTCAGCACCCCTACTATACAAAGTGTTCCAGCACCCCTGCAGGGCTCTGGGTTTTGTTTCTCTCCTTTATACTTCAGCTTTTGTTACCTGGAGCCCCGCAGCCTGGTTGCACTCTGGCCCAAGGAGCAGGCTCAGCAGCAACGGCAGACACTTCAGAGGGGCCCCGCTCCCTTCCCGCTGGAGGGGACAATGGGGCTGGGTGGAGCATGCGGTGTGCGGCTCCTCTTGTGGCTGTAGGCAAACCCAGCTGGGTCCCTGTGGGCAGGGGCTGGTATGGGCGTGCTTTCAGGAGGATGCACAGGTGGTGGGTGGGGGGCGCTTACACACATGCTCAAGCATTTGCACACGTTGCCCCTCTGCCCAGTGCCCCCTCCCGGCTGGGCGCCCTCAGTGCCACCTGCTCATCAGTCACCAGTCGCAGCACTGGGCCATTTGCCCTTCCAGTCTCCCTATTGGTTGGCAGCACCAGTGTCCAGTCTCGGCCGTGCTCCAATCACAAGCCCTTAGGATGGGCAACTGGCCTCCATTGGCTTTTCCAACTGACAGTAAGACTTTTCTCACCTGTCCCTGCCCAACCAGGCACCAGCTGATGGTGTGTCTCTGTCTATTGGACAGTTCTCCCAGATCGAGGCAATTGTCCACCTCGCCAATTGCATATAATCACTGGCTTTCCTCAGACAGCCAGTGGAGTGGACATGGGCTAATGGTGAAGACCTGTGACTTGGCAAATCTGCTGTCAATCAGTGATACGTGCTCCGCCCCCTAAGAGCAGGGCATGCGCGCACGCGGGGGTATGGGTGTGTCCATTTGTGCATGTGCCCATGAGCGCTGGTGGGGCCGGGCTGGGTGGTTTCAGAACCTTGGAGAGTGTCTGAGAGCGTGCAGGAGCAGTGGTGGTGGAGCTGGAGCCGTGGGTCTGGGACAGCGGCTGCCCCCACCACTACTTTGTTTATCTGTTTAGCTTCTGAAAGAGGGACATTGTGAACCCTGCTCAGTGGCTGGGTTAGGGCTACCCCAGCTACCTGACATTATCGGGCATGGTTGCCCCGGCTACGCTTGCATCACTGGGCACAGTTGTTCAGGCTACCCCGGCACCACCAGGCATGATCACCCTGGCACCGCCAGGCACAGTTGTCCCGGCTATCCTGGAACTGTAAGGAAAATTTCATATTTTAACATCTGCCCCTGCAATCGCCATCTTGGATCACCATAGTTGTTGTTTGGGATCCATGTTTGTTCCCCTTCTCCTTCACCAGTTTGGTGCCCTTTTTCAACTTTGGCGCTCTTTTGAGTAAAAAGGCGGGAAATGCTAAAGCAACGTGACCGGCTAATCTGCCTGGCAACGGGAGACGATAAATGTCCATCTTCCCCATCACCTAGGGCTGCCTGTCAGCAAGGCAGTCAGTGGACAACTGCATTTAGGGCTGCTGAGGCCACAGTACCTCTGACTGCAGGGTTGGGGTTACTTGCCTGCACGCTGGATAGCAGTCCATCAGCCGTCCTGGTCTCTGGATCTTACACACATGCAGGATGTAGCAGGGGAAGAAGACCCATGGGAGAAAGACTGGAATCCCTGGTCAGAGCCCTGTCTTCGCAAAGGAGACGTGTTGGGGAAAGATCAGCTTACCTGTCTTCGAGCCCTGTCTTTGAGTTCCTGTCTTCACCTGTCACCTGTGTCCAGTGCTCTGGTCCTGACGTGTCCGTGAGTGTCGGTCGCATCCTGTTATCAAGACATGGTACAGTGTCATCTTTGTAACCTTTGTAGCCTGTCCTTGTAAATAGCTTGGGGCCTGGGCTTTAAGCCCTGTATCTTGTTTAACAGCCGAGTGGTTCTGTATTTTGGTCCTTTTGGACTTGGGGGTCCTAGTTAAATACATGTCTGTTGTTAATTTACTTCGTTTAATAAACTGTTAAACTGTTTTGCGCCTTACCCCATTTTAAATCTTTGTTTTGGGTTTAAACAACTTGATGATAGACACGGGATGCGGGGGGGAAAAGCCTAATTGCATCCTGGCCAGGTGAACAGCACCACCAGGTTCCAGCTACCCCAGCATTGCCAGGAAGGGCTGCCCCAGGACTGTGAGGGATAGTTGCTCATTTACCCCTGAACTGTGTTGTGGTGACAGAGAACCAGTGAATTGTCTCAGGGCTGTGGATGATCAATTGGTTACCATAGGATTGGGCAGAGAAAAATTTTTGCTTACCCCAGGACTGTGGGGCATGGTCAGTCAGTTAATCCAGGACCAGGATTATAGTCCATTATTCTAGGTCTCAGAGGAACACTTGATTGGTTATCTTGGGACTAACAGGTTATGTTACCACAAGGACATAAAAATGGCCATACTGGGTCAGACCAAAGGTCCATCCAGCCCGGGATCCTGACTACCGACAGTGGCCAATGCCAGGTGCCCCAGAGGGAGTGAAGCTAACAGGTAATGATCTAGTGATCTCTCTCCTGCCATCCATCTCCACCCTCTGACAAACCGAGGCTAGGGACACCATTACTTACCCATCCTGACTAATAGCCATTAATGGATTTAACCTCCATGAATTTATCCAGTTCTCTTTAAAACCCTGTTATGGTCCTAGCCCTCATAACCTCCTCAGGCAAGGAGTTCCACAGGTTGACTGTGCGCTGAGTGAAGAAGAAATTCCTTTTATTTGTTTTAAACCTGCTACCCATCAAGGGATCAAGGGACAATTGGCTAGTTGTTTTGGGACCAAAAAGCAGTCAGATACCCAAGGACTGCTGGGGACCTTTCGTTGGTTACACCAGGACCACGAGATTCATAGGCCTGGGAACTAGGAGTGCAGGGGGTGCTGCAGCACCCCAAGGTGGCCCTGCACCCAGGCCTCCCCTCCCCAGCCTGGGGCTCAGGTCACAGCTGCCGGCCCTGCTGCCTGGCTGCTGGCCCCATGCCTGGAGCTCCGGGCCTGGGACTCTGCTCTTGGGACACTGGCCCTGTGCCCGTGGCCCCGGACCCCCGCTCCTGGGGTCCCTGCTACTGGCCCCACACACGGGGTCCTGTCTGTAGGCCAGGGGCTCTGCTCCTGGCCCTGTGCCTGCCCCCAGCCTTTGCCCCCTTAGCCCTGTCTGGGTCCCTCCCCTCCTGGAGACACGACACTGCTCCCGGCCACACCTGGGGCAGGTGGGGGGAGGATGCAGACAGCGGTAAGTGGGCTGGCTTTAGGCATCCCCACGATTAAAAGGGTTCCAGCGCCACTGACGGGAGATGGTTGGTTACCAAAGGATTAACAGACAGGCTTTTATCCTCGACTGGTGAGGTGTTGTTTGGTTGCCTTACAACTGTGCGTGGTGTTTCAGATACACCAGGACTGTGAGGGACGGTTCAGTTATGTGACAACGGGGAGGGGTAGTTTAATTCCCTGAGGCCTGTGCAGGGGTAGTTCAGTACTCAGGCAAGTGAAAAGCTACCAGACCAGTGAGGAAAGGTCAGTGACCCTCAGGAGGGTGAGGGAAAGGGCGAGAGGAGAGCAGCAAGAGCTGTCGCTGCTGGGACAGACAGACAGACAGCAGGCAAGAGCAGCAGAAGCAGGAGGAGACGGCAGGGGCAGGGAGAGAATCCAGGCTTCAGAAGCACCAGAACCCCAACAGACAATTACAGCAGAAGCTGCCACCCGGCCCTGCACCAACCGGAAAGCGCGACACCCCCTACAGCAGTTCTCATGCTCCGAGCAGGTCTGGTTTATAGTCCCGGGTGGCGCGGGGCCGGCAGGCTCCCTACGCGGCTGCCCGGAAGCGGGGACACCTGCAGCGCTTCGGCTGGGGAACGGCGCGCGGGGTGCGGAGGCGGGGGAGCGCGGGCTCTGGGAGGGAGGTGGGGCGCGGGGCGCCGGATCCGGGGGGCGCTCACCTCGCTCGGCTCCCGGCGAGCGCCGACCAGTCCCTGCGCCGCCGGAGGCGCGGCTCTGCGCGCGCTGCCCCCCCCCCCGCTGCCTCCGCAGCCCCCATTGGCCGGGAAGCGCGGCCAATGGGAGCTGCGGGGGCGGCGCCTGCGGAGGGGGCAGCGCGCGCAGAGCCGCTTAGCCGCGCCTCCGGCGCCTAGGGGCCGCGGCGCAGGGACTGGTCGCCGCTTGCGGGGAGCCGAGCGAGGTGAGCGCCCCCCGGATCCGGCGCCCCGCGCCCCAACTCCCGCGCACCCGTCAGTTACCGGGCTTTGCCCCTTGCCGGCGCCCCCCGTCCGCCCAACATGCCGGGGGGGGGAAGCGGTTCCCGGTCCCGTTTACTGAAGGTGGTTTGGGGATTTTAACGCTGGTTTGTTATTTTAATAAACTGCCTAAAAGCGAAGAATAAAAGGCAAGGCTGAGGCAAAATAGGTAGAAAAAATAGATTCAGCTCCTTTTGGATGCAGGTTTAAATCTGGATTGGTGGTCGTTCATTCGTTTTGAAACAAAATAAGTGTGAAACGTGGACTCTGTGAGAGAATCAGGTGCTGGGCTTGACGTTATTTCTTTTTTGAATCTCAATTCAAATTTTGCTGCTTGTGGAGTTTTTAAAGGGCCTTTTCAGGGCAGCTTTTACATCTGACAAAATGAAGTGCATCTATTTTTCAGTCAGTTATACATAATATTGGCATCCTGTTTAGCACAAGGGACTAACGCACTGCCTGAGCCAGCAGAACATCGGACCGGTTTCCTTTTTTGTTTTGTTTTTGCTACATGTAACTGATTGCGTTAAAGCACACTGGTTTCCCCCCCTCCCCCACATCCTTTTAAAGATTTTTCCAAAATGAAGAAATTTAATTTCCGCAAAGTTTTGGATGGTTTAACTGCCTCATCTCCTGGTGGCAGTAGCGGTGGTGGCAGTAGCAGTGGTGGTGGAATTGGCGCTGGAAGTGGATCCATGCATCCAGGAGGGACGACAGGTGCTGCAGGGACACCCAGAGATGAGATCCAGGAAATCCTGTCTTCGGATTATTTCCAGATTTGTAAGGTAAGGATTGCAGTGGCTCTTTCTATTCATTTACTATTAGAATTAAAAGAAAGAATAAAAGAAAAAAGCATCTTTTAGGGGGCCTGGGTGATGTGATGCCAGCATACCTTTCACTTGACAACTGCAGTGTTTGTGGTAGCTAACCCTGGAGTGATGGGATGGAAATCACATTTAGGCTTATTCTTCCCTGTGTACAGTTGTAGTAGTCAATAAATTCATAAGGCTCCTAATGTCAGCATCAAGAGCCCAATCCTGAGCTCAGGCTCAGTTTCCAAATTGATAACACTACGGTAAGGAATTCAGGCAAAGCTAGTAAGAATAAAATGTGCAAGTAAGCTCTTTTTTAGAAATTCATAGTATACAAGGGTTTTTTTTAAATAAAATATGTTGTAGGTAATATTTCAGGAAAAGGCATTAAACAAAGATAAAATCCACTGTAGTTAATGTTACACATAATGTTTTCATTTCTCATTTGTGATGCATTGAAAAGGGATCAATTATTTTCCTTTAATATTCGCAGTGAAGACTGTTAACTATGGCAGCATTATAATAATAGAACAGTATCAAGATAGGAAAGCCCCAAATTTGATTGGTCTTTGTTTTTCTTAGGTGTTGACCTGATTCTTCAATGAGAGTTTTGTCTGAGTAAGAAGTGTAGGGTCATCCCTGTGTTTGTCTTTTTCAGGTTTATTTTTCATAACGAAAGCTTCAGCACTATTCTTAAATAAAATAAAATCAGTACTAGCTTCTCAGCAATTATAACCAACACTACAACAACAAATTATAATTAAAAAAAAATAAGAAATGAAATTTTGAGCCCAATCCCATTGTCCTTAACTTTGACATGAATTCTGTTGACTTTCACTGGGAGTTTTTCCAAAGAAAGGACTACAGAATCAGGTCCCTTAATGTTGAACTTTCAAGGATATCTTGTAAATAGTGAGGAGGAAAAATGATTTTTGAAAAAAATTGTAAGAAAAAAATTGCTAGTATGTTTTAAAAGCTGTATTAATCTTCCCAAAATAAACCTCATCCTTCAAGGTTTTTGAAATTCCAATTTGGTCAACTTGATGTACAAAACTTCATGAGAGGATGAACCATTTATTTTTATTTGTTGTTATTATTTTGCTTAATTCCTTTGAAAAATAAAATAATTTGATTAACATGGGGCATGTAAAGAAAAATAAATGAAGTTTACCTGTTTAAGATACTTCTTTATTAGTCAGCATAAAAGGCTATGGTTTGAAATTTGGGAAATGATCAAATCATATTGTAATCTAATTGCTTTTGGTTCTTTGGAAAAAAAGAAGAAATTTAAGATATTTAACCATGTAAAGCGATTACTATGAATTTATAGTGCACGTATCAACATAAATATTTAAAACTAAGGGCCCACTTCTGCTGTCATTGAAATCAAACAACTAACACAGTTTGGGGCATTATGGTTCTAATTCTGTTCCCAATTAAAGTCAAGATCAAAACTCACATTGACATCAGTAGGAACAGGACCAGAGGGAAAATTACTTCAATGAGTTTTGGATTAGGCTTTGTGTAAATAATAATGGGAATTTTGCCATTCATTACCTTATGTGAAAACAGGATCAGGCCCTTTGGGCCAAATTCCTCAGTAGTCTAAATGTGTGCAACTCAGTTGTCTTTAATGGAATTATACCTGTTTACACCAGGGTTCAATTTGGCTCCTTTTGTGTATGCATACAAAAAAAACAGTAATATGTCAAACTTCAAATATTTTAATCAGAGCCCTGCCTCCCCTTTTTAACACTACAGTAATAAAAAGGAAATACAAATAATCAAAAATATATTATAATATCATTGTCGAATCTGACTTAAATTCACAAAGTCAAGGGAATTCTGAGTTAAGGCTAAAACTCAGCATATTGAACTCCATGATGAAGTCATCTTACAGCACCTGTGATTTGTATTTGTCTCAAAATAGTATCATGTGATTATTACATGTCATATGTTGTAATACGTAGTCAAAATAGGGTGCATTAAGAACAGTGTCAGTTCATTTTCAGCCTTAATTCTGAATTTACTTATTACTTTAAAATATTTCTGTGGTGTTACTTTCAGATGAACCTATCTACATACATGAGTACATTAGTAACCTGTCATTTTTGGAAGATTTTGGCAGGCAATAATTGCTTCTCTTTTTAAAATCAGCAGACTTTTTATTTTTAAAAAAATATTATTAAGCTGAGTGTTAATATCAGTACAAGAAAGCTTCAGGCAGCAGCAGCACTTGCTTATAAAAGCATGGTACTGCAGAGGCCACCCTGATAGTATACAAAATATTTACTTCCTTTGATCAAAACACATAGATGCAATAAAAGCAAACTTGCCAAAATATTCCATAAATATGTGCTGATAAAAAAATACACTGCCCTAAAGATTATCCTTAGATCGGAATTATTCTGCTGTATGGCCTTTTGGTAATCTTATATGTTTGAGTAAATCAACAGAAGACCTATAAGCCCCAATCCTGCATTTTGTAGCACGTGAATGGACTGCTGTGCTCATGCAGGCCCTCACTGAAGTCAGTGGGGCTCCACATGGGCACAGCACCCACTCGCATTCTATAAGGTGCAGGATCAGAGTAATAATTTGTACCATAAACCAATGCAAAAGAAATGTTGCAAAAGCAAAAATAAAGAAAGAATCATAGAATCTAAAACTTGCCTTTCTTTCAAGTTACTCCTATACAGACTTTTGAGATTTCTGTTGAATATTATTCAACTGGAATAGGTAAGTTTTTTAGCTGCATGTCTGAGGTCCTGATCCTAAAGCCCTTGCTCACTCAAAACTCCCATTAAAGCAAATGGCAAATTTTGATTTTTATGGGCTGCAGGCTAAGGACAGATAGAGCAACAGTTTAGCTAATCTTTTAAAACAGTTTTATTTTTATTTCCTTTGCTGTGTCTTCATTTAGGTGTAGAACATAAAAGCTGACTCATACTTCAGAATTATAGGGCCTGATCTTGCATTTCTCACTTAGACACATCTCCCATTTGAAGTGAATGGGAGTTTTTCTTAAATTAAAACTGCAGGATCTAGATCACAGTTAAGACACTGGTTTTATTATTAACAGATTTGAGGGCTTTTTCCTCTCTGTGTATTTCAAAGGTGCTTATCACTGGGGTGTCTATCAGGTATATTGGTAAATTAGATGTAGGCAGAAAGCTAATAGATAGGAACTGAATATTTTATTTTATTTGGATGTGTTCACAATTGCCTTTTGATATTTATTTTCAAAAGTAGGGGACTACATTAATGATTTTAAGAATATAAATACACTAGGTTTGAAATATTGTGAGTTAAATTACTATTGCTTTTCCTAACAAGCACGATAAATTTACATGAAGGTAATATTGTAATAATGAATCAGTGGCAACCTCTTTTACAGTTTTAATATAATGACATGAAATTCTGACACTCTTATAGTTGTCAGCTACTGTGAAATCAGCAAACTGAGATACAGATCACATAGTTTACATGGCTGCCCTTGGGAGGTGGGTATTCATGTGCATATCAAAAATATATTGATTATAGCTGGATCAACTAAATCAAAAATTTTAATGTAGTAGCTGTGACAGATATTGCAACCGCATGCAGTATCTGTGAGGATCATTTTGTGTTCAGTGTATGAATGGTTTATATAACACTGTGGGCCAGGGATTGTATGTAATTCCAAGGGGGAAGGATTACTACAGCTCTGCAAGGAACTAAAAGCAGTAGCGGGGGATTAAGATGAATCATTTAGGTTATAAACACTCCAGAGAGGTACCACCCCCTGAAGAGGCTTCAGTATACTAGTTCAGACTGGGTTTTTTTTTTTTTTTTTAAAAATCAACAGACAAAGAACAGGCTTTTGGTGTGAAACGGCTGGGCTTAAGCTGACTTGGTGCCTTCTTTCTGATCCAGCAAATGGACAGGACCTTCTGTCCAAGAGCTCCAACCCTTGAAAAAAGGTTGGGAAAACTGGTTTCAGAGTAACAGCCGTGTTAGTCTGTATTCGCAAAAAGAAAAGGAGTACTTGTGGCACCTTAGAGACTAACCAATTTATTTGAGCATAAGCTTTCGTGAGCTACAGCTCACTTCATCGGATGCATACTGTGGAAAGTATAGAAGATCTTTTTATACACACAAACCATGAAAAAATGGGTGTTTACCACTACAAAAGGTTTTCTCTCCCCCCACCCCACTCTCTTGCTGGTAATAGCTTATCTAAAATGATCACTCTCCTTACAATGTGTATGATAATCAAGTTGGGCCATTTCCAGCACAAATCCAGGTTATCATACACATTGTAAGGAGAGTGATCATTTTAGATAAGCTATTACCAGCAGGAGAGTGGGGTGGGGGGAGAGAAAATCTTTTGTAGTGGTAAACACCCGTTTTTTCATGGTTTGTGTGTATAAAAAGATCTGTACTTTCCACAGTATGCATCCGATGAAGTGAGCTGTAGCTCACGAAAGCTTATGCTCAAATAAATTGGTTAGTCTCTAAGGTGCCACAAGTACTCCTTTTCTTGTTGGGAAGACTGTGGCTTACTAGAGCCCCATAAGACTGATGGGTGACCTCTGGTAAGCTTTTAGCATAAAGTATAGGAACTTTTATTGTTTTTGACATGTTTTGTAATGTTATGTTTTTACCTTGAGAATAAAGGTGCTTGCTTAGAAGGAGCTGTGTGGTAACTGGTAACTGCTGGTAATACACAATAGCTTTGGGAGAGAAAGCAATGCACAGGTGCTGGCCTTCAGGGAGAATGGCTTTCTGGAGGTATCACAGTGTAACTCAGGGAGCTGTGTACCCTTAAAACCCCAGTCAGAAAGGAGAGAGATGTAGATCTTCAGCCAAGAGAGGTGATGGCTGGGAGCTGGAAGCCTTAAGTGGGTGCCCTTGAGGGACCACAGAGAGGGAATGCAGGTGAAGTTATCCTGAAACTGTGACAGTAGCCTCATGCCGAAAACTGGGCCTGA